TACCAACTGAATGAATAGATAAAATTCACCAAAGAATAGATATAAAGAAACCAGAATTTAGAACTGACACTGACAGTAACAAAAGCAGTAAATTAGAAGATATGTACTACCAAAACATGTATGAAGACATTAACAAAAGTAAACAAAAACAACCAATATATGGGGACACCCATAGCAAAAGGAGAGGATGGGACTATATATTATATAGTCCCATTTCTTCCTTTTGCTATGGGCATTCTCATATATACAATCGAGCTCACATGCATCTACGAGTAGTATACCAAGTATACATCTAAGCAATGAAGATTCAAATATAAATAAACAACAAGATCAAATACATGAGCCAATACCCCAATAACAATAGTTAAATATTAAACCAGAACAAGTAGAGCAAAAACAAAGCATGTGAAATACAGTTCGAAATAAAGCATCTGCTTATATACCATCAGCAAATAAAATAAATATATTGAAAACTAAAAGACAAGAACCGGATTTATGACACAATGTTGTAAAGGATCAAGCAATTACGAATATCTTTGAAGACCAACAAGAAATGCTATTTTTTAGCCAAAGGAAAATATTGCAGAATACTAGACAAAACAAGCCAACTGCATTAAATATAATATAGACAACTTATATCAACAACAAGATGAATATTTGCAAAATCAATACCCAGAACCAGTTCAAGTACAAGTATATGCTACTAGAAGAACTAGTATAGAAATTGAAAATGACTCACCAAAAATGAAACTAGTAGAACATAGATCTAAAACACCACCACCACCAAAGAATAATCTCTATGGATATGCATCAATATTATAAAATGACAGTAATGAATCATTACATCTAGAAAAAGAAATATTTAGTATTGAATTATCACAGTACCAACCTAAAGTGATAAGCAAAAGCAATCTGAACCAAATATACAAAGATTTGGTACACATATTCAATGAAATAAGAAGGCACATTAGGATCTGGAATACCATATTATATGAAACAAAAATATATATTGAAACTATATATATAGACTGCCATTAGAATATCCTAAAAAGAAAACTATTTAATACAGACACCAATGCATTTAGCTCAAAATGGCATTGTCATACAAAACGGCATAATCAATGATAACAAAATAAGAATAATCAACTATACAGAAAAACCTATACTGATACTGAAAAATTATTATATTAGTAATCTTGAAAAAGTTACCAAAATAATAGATATTACCTAAAGAAAAGGATAAGCGATGGGAAATGCAGGTCAAAAAAAAAGAGAAAACTAAAAAAGAATGACTTGAAATATTATTAAAAAATACTACCCCAGAATATAGAAATAAGATATTACCATTATTCAAAGAATATATAAATATATTTAGAAGGAAATATGAAAAAGCAACAATATTTAATGAAGTCTTCTTTGAACCAATAACATTAAAGTTAAAGTGTGATGAAAAAGAAATATCTTTCAAAGATAAAGCAAGAATGCCAAGACAATACTCAGAAGACAAAATAGAACAAGCTAATAAATTATTTGAAGAACTAAGAAAACAAGAATTTATTAGACCATCAAAAGCTATATAGATATCACTGTTAGTTATTATACAAAAGAAAGACAGATCTTATAGAGTTGCAGTAAACTATACAAAACTTAACCAATATTTAAAAGATGATCTATATGAAATATCACATATTAACACTATGCTACAAAAACTAGCAAGACATAAAATATTCTTTACACTAGACTTTACGGTAGCTTATCATCAATTCAAACTAAGAGAAGTTGACAAACACCTTACCACTGTATTTTTTCCTGGAAAGGACAAATTTGAATGGAATGTACTCCCAATGGGATTAAAAACAGCACCTGCATATATGATGAGATACATGTATGAAATTTTTAAAGATTTACCCTTTGTATATATATATATAGATGATATGACAATTGGAAGTAATTCACTTGAAGAACACTTTCAACATCTCGAAATAGTATTTGAATGTATCAAAACAGTGGGCATAAGTTTGAAACCTGATAAATACAAATTTTGGATATTAAAAACACTTATATTAAATTAATAGAATATGGAAAGATATACCCTAACTAAGTAAAAATTAAAGAAGTAGAAAAACTTAAAGTACCAACAGATGTACATGGAGTGCAATCATTTATAGAATTTATAAATTATTTCAGAAAATATATTCAAAACTTTGCATTAATTGCAGAACCAATTTATGATCTATTAAAAAAAATGCTAAATTCGAATGGACAAAAAAATGCCAAAAAGCATTTGATATATTGAAAGGAAAAGTCAAAAATGCGATAGCGTTAGAAACTGACGCATCTGACAATGAAATAGGTGCAGTATTAAAACAAGTAAATCCTGAATTGGCATATTACAAAACTAAACAAGCTAGAGAAAAAGGCGCAGAGTATGAACCAACCAAATTGGAAAAAGAAATTATAGAATTTGGGTATAAATCTCTAACATCTATACAAAGAAAATGGGGCTCTACTATGAAAAAAATGTATACACTATATTACTATTTATTAAATTAGAAACCCTATATTAAAAATAAATCAGTAATAGTATGAACAGATAATACTGAAATATCTGATGCATTTGGAAAAATGGTCAGAAACGATATAATACAAAAATGGCTAATACAGTTACAAGATTTCAATTATAAAGTTGAACAGATTAAAGGTACAGACAACAAAATTGTATATTACTTATCACGACACATGGGACTAGATGAAAATAGAGAACAAGTTGTAACATTACGAATAGGAGTACAAGATAAAGAAAATTGATAAAATCTGGAGAATATAACTATATTTTTACAGATCAACAATTTATGAAATTTTCAAAAATAAATAGTCTAGAAACTCATGATGAAAGTACCACCTTATAGACAACTTGTACAAAACTTTAACAATGAAGAAAAATGTATACAGTATCTACAACAGAAATTAATTTTACCAAAAGAAATCAATTGTCTATTATGTAACCAAAAGATGAAACTAAATACCAAAATATTTAAGTGCAACAAACATGACTGCCAAAAACAGATATCTTTGTTTAACGGGACAATATTTATGAATGCCTGATTATTTTGTAATGAGATATTAGAAATTGCCTATTTATGGCTAATCAAAGCAAGACACAGCACAATATGTAATTTTACCAATCACTCTGAAACAACAATAACACGATAGATGAAAACATTATGCCAAAGTGTGTACTACTAAATAAAAGAAACACATGAAAGAATTTTTTTTTTTTTTTTTTTTTTTTTTTTTAAGAGAGGTCTTTTCTCTATTTCTTTATTTCAAAATATATAATTGGATACAACTTGTACAAAATTTATACATTTAATGAAAGGGAGTAGAAGTTAGAGCTCAGGTTTACCCTCGACTTATTCTTAGCTAGAACGGTCGAAAACCTCTAGGCTATATAATTAGAGAGTGGGGATGTAGAATTATTGTAAATGAATTTGTTAATCCATACAATGAATTGTCTATCTATGGAGCTAAGGGGAGTATTAATTTCTAATAGGGTGATGATAATTAAGAGGTTAGGAGTAGTCTGTTGCATGCAGGTTTTACTTGGTTTCCATAATTCTTCATGTATACTTTTAGTAATGGTGTGGTATATTTGTGAGATTATAGTAATATTTTGAAGAGTTGACCCTAATTTTGTAGATGTTGTTGTGCTAATAAACCCGATAGGAATTTGTTTTTCAATATAGGTTGTAATGAAGTCTTGTATAAACTTGTAAGTTGTTGGTGTGTTTATGTCATTTGTTTGGCATACTTTAGTTATTGCTTTATATATGATTTCATCAATTTTCGCTGGGTTGTGCAGACATGTGAGCATGTGAACAGTGTCTTCGAGTATTTGGAGGCATTTTGCACAGAAGGGATTAGGGTGTGTTGATAAGTTTCTGTGGTAAAGATGGAAGTGGGTTGGTAGTTCTGAAGTTAGTAGTTTTACTTTAAAGGTTTTTAAAGTTGATTTAGTAGGGCAGGTATTTCGACCAAGTGGGTTGTCTTGGAAGTTTAGGTAGTCGAATGTTAGTTTCCAGTTAATGTTTGGGAATTTTTGTATGATAGATCTGATTCGGTTTTGCTCGTTCCATTGGATAGTAGCTTTTGCTTTTTGTATGATTTTGGGTATTTGATGGATCGAGTATGTGGTGGGGAAGCCACTAATACAAGGTGTAAAGTTGGAGTTTAATACTGATTGTGTTGCGATGTTAGTGTGTAGTTGTAGATTTGGTGTTAGGATCTTAATTTTCTTTTCAGATATGTTTGTATTGATGGTATGATCTTTTGCTAGGATGATTGCTCTTATTGTCGATATTATGTTGTTGAATGGGATTTTGCGAAGGTGTTGTTGGTGATAAGATGGTAGATTAAGAATCGATTGAATTTTTGCTTGTAACTATCTTTTATTGGTAGTGATATTTATATTTGTTCAGGGGGAAAGAATCGTATAAATTATTGCTAGTGTTGTGAATGTGGCGTAGGTATGAGATGGAAAGGATATGTTTGTAGTATGCCAAATTTGCTGGTTATGTTGGAATTGGATCTGTGCGAAGGGAGATTTTAGTTTGTCTGTTGGGTTTATCCTTTTTGATTTAGTTGTAATTAGGATTCGGAATGGGCTGGGTTAAACCCGCGGGTTTGCGGGTTGGGCCGGGTTTGGGTCAATCCGGGTCCAATATTTTAACCCGTTTATAAAGCGGGCCGGGTTTACACCGGGTTTATTAAATACTGGTTTTGGGTCGGGTTTTGAAAATGGGCCCGCGGGGGCCCGCGGGCCTGCTAATATAGGAGGACTTTCTCGTGATTGGTTGATCGCATAAATCGAATATCAAGGCATGATTGGTCACGTTGCATATCATGTGAAAGCTGACCAATCAAAATTTTAAATTATTATTAATATTGATTTTAAAAAAAAAACTTATCTGTTATACATATAGCTATAACTGCGTAGCCAGTTACACAAATTGATAAATATTTTTTATTTGATCATATCTAACTAACGTTGCCACTGTCGCATTTTGTGATGTCGTTGCAGCACAGGTGTTTTCGCTTTGCTTTAGTGTTGTCGTTGTAAGTGCTACCATTTCGGTTGTGACTACCTGCTCCTTGCTTTGCTGCTTGCCTTTGCCACTTGCTTTTGCCGCTTGTAATTTGGGCCGCAATTTCGTCTGTTGCGCTATACTTTTCAGTGGTGTTGGATTTCACTTCCGTTTTGTTGGCCGGTGTAATTTCGTCGACGTGCCACATTTATGGTGTCATAAGGTTAGTTTTTCATTTAGTTTGTTTGATTTTGGGAGTAAATCGAGAATGAGGTACTTTAATCTAAAGCACAACAATAACCAAAATCCTATTACCACTAGATATCGCTTTCTCTCGGTTAGACGTGAGATCTTATGATGATATGGAACGAAAAGAATTTGCCAAAGAATTCAATCAATTATTTCCTGATTCTGGAGGCCTTAGGCTAATCTCTTAATGAACTTTTTCTATAGCCGATTAGGTATGAAGGACATATTTAACCAATCCGCAGTAATAGAAAATATCACTGCTATTTCTATTTACTATTCTATCTTAATGAATCTTGGTTAGGGTGAATTATTTGCTCGTGGATTTATTTCCAGAGCAGAGCGGAGGAAGTTAAGTCCAGACAATATGTAAGCCTGTATGGGTTTCAACGTCCGTCCGCAAGGTTATAAGATAACGCAAAATTCGCTTCAGTAATTGATCAAAATCATAATTAATATTTTGTTTTTTTTTAAAAAAAAAAAAAAAATTTGATCAAAGTCATATCAGTTAAAAAAACAAATAAATATTCGATCAACAAAATCATTACCTATACTGCAAGAAATTCCATGATACTGTATAAAAGATAAAACAAATTTATATATATTATAAAAATATATAATTTTTATATGTATTTTTATTTATGTATATTATAAAAATATATATTGATATATATTCGAAGATTAACAGTCGCTTACATTTAATGGATATGAGGACAATTAATTAACGTTGCATGATCTAACAAAATAACATTCAGAGTTCTTTAAAATAGAGCTAAATGTAATTTCGCACTCATATTAAAGTGTATTGGTTGATTTAGTGAAATATGAAGCAGTGCTCTAGAGCCCAACGGACCCGTTTTCCTAGTTTAGTTAGTGATTTAAAAATATGTTTTTTGATGGTCACGATATATTGCTATTAAAGTAACATTTTAAATAATCACCGGACCGGGTCAGGTTAGGTTGGGCCGGGTCATAGTTTGAAGTTGACCCGACCCGGCCCAAACCCATAACTTTTTACCGGGCCGGGTTTATAAAATTTCTTTGGGCTTGGGTTTAAATTTAGAAAAACCCGGCCTGAGCCCGCCCATTCCGAATCCTAATAAACGGTAAGACTTTTACAATGGAATATAGAGATGGTGTAAAATATTTAAATTTTAACAGTAAACAAAATTTATGCCATTAAAATTATCATAAGCCAGATTCAAAGTAGACTTATTATGGTAGTCATGGGATTCGATAGTTATTGGAAGTATTCTTTATTCTATTAATATTGTATCATGATATAGTTTAATTTTTACAATATTACCCTATTCTATTCTAGGATATTTGTACAGAATTGGCATTTCAATATACTTCGCGGATTAAATATGAGTCACAAGTAATAAATTTATTTTTAAAATGGTTTATTTTTTTTTTAAAAAAAAATTTTTTCCTTTTGATTTCTAATAAATTCAATTCTAGGCACTAACACTTAGTGTTTGTAGTCAAGTTCACATAGTCGATTTTTATCGACTTAGCCGGCTTAGTCAGCCGATTTTCCAAAAAATCGACTTAGTCGATTTATGTTAGATTATATGAAGTACCAATCAGATTCGATACATTACTTCTCCTAGTACATAGTACTAAGAGTAAGAGCCGAAAAATTCTGATAAACATAAAATACGAGCAAGGTCGCGACAAAAATTTGATGAAATCTTCGATAAATTCCGAAGGTAAAAAAAAATATATATTAGTCGGCTAAGCCGAATTTTAATTATCGACTTGTCAAGTCGATAAATGAGGATCGACTACAAACACTACTAACACTAATCTAGGTTGCGCATCAAAAAACTTGATTCACAATTATACCGTATGCCACTGCTTACAATACCCGGGTTTTATTCAAGAATTCCATTTTTAAAATTGAATATACCCGTGAAGAACCGGGTACTATATTGGAATATATTATATTAAAGATAGAAATTAATATAGTTATACCCCCGGGCCTTATTCAAGAAACAGGTTGGTAGCAACGATGAGTAATATCTGTCTCTTAATCACGAGTATTATTTTGGGGGATACCGAAAGCAGGGCATACGGTAGTTTGATCGCTACTGTAATATTTTTATGTGACCCCTAGTTTATATTTGGCAAATATTTACACCAAGATTATCCTTCCTATACGCTTTAAGCATCTTACGCTTTGCTAATACACTCTAAGGTTCAATAACGATCATCGTAGAATTAATTTTTATTACGGTCCGTTTGAAATTCTTTATTTAGTTTTAATTGTTAGTTTAAAATAAGCTAATATTCTTTCTTTTTTTTTTTTTTAGAGTTTGGCTATAGGTATCTCGATAGGGTCTAAAATCTTTTGTTCTTGTACGACTGCCGAACGCATACTTTATAGTTCATGCTAGAAGTTCAAAAATCAAGGTATAGTTAATTTACTTAAATCCTAATTTAATGTTATACTGTTTGTTGAAAATGAATAACAGGATTGATTTATATGAATTAGGGTCAATAGTTCTTAAAGATACAAAATC